ATATACAATTACTTTTAAAAATACGGCGTCTTAAAATTAAATATTTAAATAGATTTAAAGCTATTAAATCTTCAAGAAGAAAATACAAAACTAAAAAACAAAACTAATGAACTTAGAAAATCTGGGGAATTTTTAAGCGAGAAATATGAACTAGTCGTTAAAGAACTTTCTAAAAAAAAAAAAACCAAACTTATCATCAAACCAAAATGATACAGCAAACGTTGAAGTTAAAAACGAATTTGCTGAGTTGGAAGACAGGAGCAGAAGAAATAACCTGAGATTTACGGGAATCAAAGAAAACAAAAATGAAATATGGGAATTGAGCAAAGAAAAGATTTAAAATGTTTTTAAGACAAAACTTGGACTTAAAGGTACTGATGAAATTGAACGGGCGTACAGGACGGGGAAAAAAGTACAACAGAACCATAATAATTAAATTTTTAAACTGCAAAGACAAAAAACTGCGTTTGATAACTATGTTCAGTTAAAGTTGTGAAACGATCGATTTTATGTAAACGAAGATTACAGCAAAACAACTTTAGAATTCCAAAACCAATTATTTAAAAAAGAAAAATATTTGAGAGCCAAAGGTAAAAAAACCTCTTTATTGTTAGCAATTGAAAGTAACTAATTTACTTTTAAACGAAAGCTTAAAGAACTCATTTTTACAATCGTATATTTAACAATATACTTTAGATATTTTATTAGTGATCATCCTTTTTACCCTCTATTTAAACATGAATTTATAAAATTCATATATGTAATACTTTATCTTTTATTTGTAATGGAATATTTTAAGTTTCTAACTTTGTTGTAAGAAACTTAAAACGAAAAAGTATATATAGCATTAATAATCTAATCAACTGCCTTACAGTTATAGATAAAGAAAATAAAACTAAAATTAACTTTATAACTTATTATTATTTTAAACCAGCAATTTAAGCTTTTTCGGTACAGTCATCAATGTCGTTATTTAAAGTAAAAACATTATATTATTAAGATAATATTTTCTTATATTAAGATATATTATTAAGATAATATTAAGATAAGATTATATATTAAGATAATATTATCTTATATTAAGATATATTAAGAAAATTGGATAGCGAGAAAATAATGTTATTGTTTTTAGAATGTCAAAAAGAAGAAAAGAGATTGATACTGAAATCCATAAAGTGTGCGACTCCAAGTTGTTTAATGATCTTATTAGAAAAATAGTCATAAACAAATATATAACCAAAAGAGTTTACTATTTTAACCGAGGAGCAATGCACTAAGCAGCCTTGTTTTAGTAGAAATAAGCAACAACGCAAACCAATCAAAATTTTCAAATCTACTATTAAGCTTAAGGCATTGAGTAATTTTTAAAAATTACACATTAATCTTGAATAAACTGAGGTCGAAAGCAAACAAAAGAAAAAGCTAGTTTTTGACAAATACAAATGCAACAAAAAACTTGCTATAAAAGGAACAATAGCAAGCCCTTTTGATATGGTATTTGTTCAATTAGAGTCTGCAAAATCTGCACTTACTGTAAATAATTTGACAAGAAATCACTGTCATTTGTTTTGCTAGTATGTTAGTACAACAATGCTAAACAACAATCTGGATGAATATTACTTGAAGTTGATGTTAAGCAACATATGAAGTTGACATATGTGTATATGTTATGTGTTATATTAGTAAGAAAACTTCAATTAATACGTAACTTCTTAATACAATTATTAGTTTATTATTAGAAATTTATGTTGCATTATGTTTACCAGCATCATCAGCTTGTAAAAATTTTACAACAACATTTTTTTGTAATGTTAGACACAGTTTAAAACTAACTGACGTCAGCAGTTAAATGGGTTTTTTCTTGTTTACATAAAAATTTAAAAAAACGGAGTCCAAAATTTAGTTTTCACAAAATGCCCGTTATCTAAATTCAATCCGCCATATAAAGGTGAACATGGAAAACTGTATTATTACAATCACTTTTTTTTGTTTCAACTTTAATTGTTTTTACGTTTTCCAACTTTATTTCTTGTGAGCAAAACTTATTATGGGTGGCTATTGCAGATTGATATTGTTTCCCTCGTTTAAGTTTTTCAGATATTGTTGAGTTCGAGCCCTAATTTAAAGTTTAGTTTCTCCTACGTATCTCTTTGAGCATTTGCATTCAATCAAATAAGTTCTGGGTTAATTATTTTTAGGCAATTTAGTTTTTTTTTTGACGTTAGTAATGTTTTTAATTTTTGATTTGATTTGAAGACTACTCTATAGTCAGCTTTACGAAATATTTCCTTAGTTTTGGGGTTAGTGATGGTATCCACCGCAACAATACAGTAAGGATGTTAAGAGAGTCTGATTGAATTTTGTTGATTTTTAGCGACCATTTATTTCCAATTAAGTTTGTGCGGCCGTGGCTCAATGGTTAGATGACTTGCTTTACAAGCAAGAGATCCAGCTTCGAAACGAGCTTTGGACATATTTCGCCGCACAGTAAAGAAGAAGGCGTGAACTTCTTGGTTAAATACACTTCCGCGGTGCTTTGTGGTAAGACCATTAGGACTTCTTGGGTCACATTAATAACAAATTTAAAAAAAAAAATTTGCAATCCCTTTAAGTATGGCATATGTTGTACCCATTTTCATTTAACATTTGAATAAGGAAATTTATCTCATCTTGTTAATATTCCCGCATGAAGAATAAGACCTGTGAACAAAATCTTTAAATATTGCGTTTACAATCTTAGAGTCATGATTTGAGTGATGTTTATTTTGGATATTAGTAACAGGTTCTTTTTTGTAAACTTTAAACTTGTATTATCCTTTGTTGTTATTTATTATGGTTAAATCGAGGAAGTTTAGAGAGAGTTTTTCGAGAGAGTTCTATTTCCGCTTTCAGTTTTGATCGTATATTGTATTGCAGGGTGTTGTTTGTTTAAGATAATTGGAAATTGTTCTGCTTCTTGAGTGTTGGAAAATCTAGCGGCACTTTTGTTGACATATCTTAAATAGAATTTTAGGTCAAGAGGAGGATTTACTGCTATTGCAATGTTGGAAGCGTTTTGTTCATGATGTTGTGAGAATGATTCTGCAAGTACGACCATGAATGAAAGACCTATAGGATAGGAGAAATAACAACGGTGTAAACAAAGCTCTATGAGTTGTCTTGTTCCAGATAATAATAAGTTTGGTGGAAAATTTGTAGGAATCATCTTTATTTAATTGGTCTATAAGAATTAAAGTGGCTTTCTTTAGTTGTATTAATGGATACAAGTTTATTTCATCAAATAAACCTTGAGTTATTTATTCTCCCATCCTATTTATTTATTTTTGACAAATTAATTAAAAAGCAATCCAATATATGATTCTTGGAATCGTTGTTGATCCTGGCTTCCTCATAAAATATATATCCAGTCAAAAATTACCAAAATCATAGATTTAATGTATCGAGTTCGCTCGTACATCAATACAAATAGTCTTAAATTATTCTACTTTGAGCTAATTCACTGCCTCATCAGCTATGCAAACATTTCATGGGCAAGTACTCAAACGGAGCGGAAACACGCTAATCCCTTGATGAAAGATATAAAAATGATAAATGTATTTGAAATAAGTATCTACCAGCATTTAATTTTCATGTATCGTTACAATCACAATATCTCTTCTATAAGCTTTAATAATAAGTTTGAGTTAAATAAAAATGATAACTATAATCTTAGAGCGAATATATTGAATACAATTAAACTGCCTAGGATAATAAATAAATATTCAGAATACAGCAATTTATATCGAGGTCCAAAAGTATAGAACATTTTTCAAAATGGGTTCATAGGTACGCTGAGTTCGTTAAGTTCATTCAAGTTTTTAACAAAAAAAGAAATTTTTAAAACCTGTGAAACATTTTTTGTTAATAATGCTGTGAATAAATTCTCTTAAATACGTTTTTGTTTTGTTTCTACTTTTTTTTGTTGCTTGACAAATTTTATAAGCGGATTAGGCATTTTTTTATGATATTTTATTGAAATTTTTATTTTGTATGCCATATTACGATATTTTAATTAAATCTTGTTAAAGGGGTTCTATGAAAAGATTGCGATGACGTTCTGTCATCCTCATCTTCTTTAAGCCCCTATCTGTTTTACTTATTTTTTTAAATTTTATATTATGTAGTGGAATTTGTAAAATTATGTTATGTAAACAGAGAAAGAATAAAAAAAAAAAAAAAAATTATTTTCCCATCTCATTTATTCTTACCATTCATTCTCCTATATCTATTCTCCCATTCTCAATCTGTTATTTTCCCATGAATTCGCTTTACTAATAAAATCAAAAGAATTTTTCAGACGAGTTTAATTTTTGTTTAATACAGGTTGTATTTTCTTTACTAAATAGTTTGATATTCTATAATTAGGAACGCCGATAGTTGATACAACAATTCTCATAGGAAAAGATTTTTCAGGTTTGTGAGCTTTAATTAGACCATACATACGAGGCGGGATGGATCACTTGGATTTATACAATCGTATTCCGTTTTTAAAAATCGCTGAATTTTAGTTGTGAGATATAAGTCTTAGTTTTAATAGGATAACTAGATGTGGGATTTAAAATTATCATTTAAAATTCTTGTTGGGCTAATTTGTTCGCAAATTTTTTCCAAGGCTTTATCGTATTCTAATCTTACAAAACCATTATCCTTATCAAATGGATATATATTATTAATTTTGTTTTTTTTTCAACTTCCATAAGAGCTTTTTTTTTAAGAAATTAAGGAAAACAAAATTATTGGTATATATCCGTTTATATCACGGTAAAAAAATATTTAAATCAATTTAACATTTCTATATAAGAAATAAAATATTATGTTTTAATCCGATTTTCGAAGTTATTGATTAACCATTATAAACAATAAAATTAAAACAAGAACAGCGGTTTGTAAATAAAGTTATGTTTATTCAAGACACAAAAAATGATAAAAAGAAATTAAATTTCAACTCAAAACATTCAATAAAACGTATACAACGATTACACGGGAAAACGCATTTTTGCGTTATGCAACTTTTATAACTTAATAAAAGAAGAGGTTTAAAGTTTTTGAAGAAAAAAGTACTCATAATGATTTCGTTAATTTTCAAACTTATTTTAATATCAACGCAAATTATTTGCTATCAATCATCAATAGTTCAGAAAAATCTTGGATCACAAATAATACTTAAACATTTCGAATCACCGGTATTTCGATTTGCAAATCATTACGCTGATCACATGGTTTTGCAAAAAAGTCCATATAGAGCAGTTATTTGGGGATTTGGACAAGAAAATAGCGACGTAATTATAGAAGTAAAAGAAAAACGTTATGGGACTGTCGTTCAAAAAAGTAAGTCTAGTTTCTAGTAAAACCTATGCACCGTTAACAAAGTATTTATATAATATATACTTTGTTAACTTTATTATACTTAATCGCCAGTGATAAATCATGAATTTTTTTATAAGTAATAATCCAGGAGGTGCTCATACATTTTATAGTTTAACGGTTACAGTAGCGGAAATTAGCATTTATTGGAACAAACGCTTATGTGGTAGATTTTTTTTTTATCATTAACAGTCTGGAACTATTCACTCTTTTGGTTCAAGAAAATTAAAAATGTTTCAAATTTATAATTAAGTATTAAGATTTTATTAGCGTCCAAAGAACTTTAATTATTTGAAAATTAACTGGGAGTTTTTATACGTTACAAACATAGAACTATTTAACAATTTTTGTGATTTTGAAATATTTCATTTTTTAAAGGTTTTTAAAAGTTTTTCAAAAGTTGTAAATTTAGTTTTATATGCTTTAAAATAAAATTTAAATATAAAATTCGAATAAATAGCAAATTAATGATTGGGGATAGAAAAAATTGTGCATTTGCTCAAAGTTTTCGACGAATGGTTGTACTATTAAGAAATGCAAGAAAATAGTTATCTAATAAAATTGAAATGTCAGTTTATGAATAATATTATTTATATATTATTAATACTGTTCAATAATAAATTATCATTAAGTCAAGATTTACGATATAACTAAGTCATTGTTTAAACATTTGTATATTTCACTGAAAAAACTACAAAAACATTTACAATTAACATTTACAAAAAACATTTATAATATTGACACAACCTGCTATTGCCATAGACAAACTCCCCTTCCCAAAACTGCATTTTTGCTTGCCATCAATTCCTTTATAATTTTTCTGGTTAATTTAGAAACAGTTGTTCGGCGACACTGACCTAAATAACGTATTTAAATAAGTAATAGATAAAAAACAGTTTCGAATAAAATCGTTTTTTTATGTATCAAGTTTAAAGTAACTTGAGTACCTAAATTAAGAAAAGATGATTTGCTTACTAAGTTTGCAATACCTAATTCGCTTCCATCTAACTATATATATATATATATATATATATATATATATATATATATATATATATATATATATATATATATATATATATATATATATATATATATATATATATATATATATATATATATATATATATATATATATATATATATATATATATATATATATATATATATATATATATATATATATATATATATATATATATATATATATATATATATATATATATATATATATATATATATATATATATATATATTTAAACAATTTAAAATGTATTCTACAAAAAGAGTGCTCAATGTTCCTAAAAGAACAGAGCAATTACAAATTAGTAGAAAATTACATAACAAAATTTTTTCTCATTTTAAACTGTGTTTCATCAATAAAGACTCATCAGAAATGAAATTTCTGATGAGTCTTTATTGATGAAACACACTGTTAAATGAGAAAAATTTTTGCTAAGTGATTTTTTACTAATTTGTAATATATATATAAATATATATATATATATATATATATATATATATATATATATATATATATATATATATATATATACATATATATATATATATATATATATATATATATATATATATATATATATATATATATATATATATATATATATATATATATATATATATATATATATATATATATATATGTGTGTGTGTGTGTGTGGGGGGGGGGGCGGGTGTTTGTGTGTTTGTGTGTGTGTTTTAAATATATCTATATAATAGAATCTTTATTTGTTTCAACAACAGTTTATAAAAAATAAAATTTTTTGAAATCAAAACCAATAAATATGCAAAATAGATACTTTTAAGTAACAATAAAAGTAACTTAAACTATAAAGATATAAAAAGTCAAACAGGTCAATAAATAGCTATTACTTTACTTGTGTCAACAAAAGAAGAAATGAAATTCCTTGTTAAATGGAACACTGGAATAAAAATTTCTATAGAATTTTGTATAAATTTTTGAAACATTTGTTCTATAGAAATTCTATAGAATTTCTATAGAATGTCTATTAACTTCTAATGATAATGCTATAAAAACTTCTATAGATGTTTTTAAATTATAGGTAAATACAAGCTTTTTAGTCTTTGCTATAAAAACCTTTAATAGAAAAAAAAGGAGAAGAAAAGGTTTTTTAAGAAGTTCAAAAAAAATTAAAAGAGATTTAAAAGAAATTCTAAAGATTTTCTATATGCCATATATTTTTTTAAAATATTTATTAAAATTCAATACAACTTTTTTTCCTGGGATTTTGTGGTGCTCTGTGATATATGCTTTCAGCATTTCTTGGAGTAAATAGTTAATAAACCAAAATAATTAAAACAATACAAAAGACGTTTGAGGACAACTTTTAATCACAAAATTTCAAATTTAAAGAGAGGTTTTTAACTGTTAAAAGCAAAACTAAAAAACAGGTAACGTTCTAAATGGAGAGAATGTTGTTTTAAATTGTTTCTTTGGATTATTTTTTTTTTAATTTATTGACTGATTATTGATTGATTAAAGGTCTAAATTAACAAGTCAGAAATATAACACCTAGATTATCAGCCTCAAATACATCGAGAAAATTTTTAAGCTTCTTAAAATTGAAAGTATTTGGCTTAGATTGAAATCCTCGTATGCATACTCAACAAACGATTACATAGTTAATAAACTCATACAAAACATTAATAACGTAAATTTTTATTGAGACGGTGTGCTTAGGTCTTCAAAAGAAAAATTAAAACTTAATTGGCCTTTACTATAAAGTTTTTAAAAATACGCTAACTAAACTTTTCGAGCAGTGGCAGACGTCATTTCAATGTTGTATAATTTTAACTTCGCTGTTGTGTATCGATTTGACTTTGAAACGAGGTCGGATGCCTAAATATTTAGAACATTGTTTTCAAATTTTTTAATCAAAAAAAAGTTTGTTTTGAAAAAAATCTGAACTATAAAAGCAGTTATTTTTGATGTTAATGCGATTATTTTTGTAATTTTTATAATATTTTTATTTTCAACTTGTGCCCTTTATTAAATTGAATTTAAAATTAAAATCCGTTAAAAATTAAAAGAAAAATATTGTAAATTAGAAATAAATATAAAAACTTTTTTCTATTTTCCTAATAAAAATAAAAACATTGACTTTTTAAAAAAATGGTTTAATCCTATATATTTTTAATTTTTTTTTTTTTTTTTTTTATTTACACTTTTGCCGATAAAAAAAAAATTTACAGTTGTAACTTATAAAAAAAATAATTACATGACCGGGGCTAGAAGAAGACAAATTTAGTCTTATCATTAAGCCCCAAAAAATGAGTCATTATTAGACAAAATATAGTTTAACAATAAAATATAGTTTCAATGTATATATCTCTGATTTATATTATATAAAAAAAAATTAAATATATCGCATATCGTTTAAAACTTATAGTTTTTCAAAGAATAAGATTTAACAATTGTTTTGTAAAATAAAAGAAACAAAATTTAATAAAATATTGAAATGACAAAAATAACATTTAAGACTTGGTTTGAAAAATAAAAAGATATGCTTTTATATAAAAACATTTTATTGGTAGAGCATAAAATAGTTTAACTTATTTAATTATATTTATAATACTTTTCATTGCCAATTAAGTAAAAGCAAATAAACAGTATAAAAAGTAAAAGATTAATAAATAATGCAAAAATAAAAAATAAATTTCTCAAAAAGTAGATTATCATTTAAAATGATAAAAATATATGTACAATTGTTGATTAATTATGTATTAATAATCTAAAGTAATTAATTAATTAATTATTAATTATTGATTTCTAACATAAAGAAGTTTTATTAGAAAAAATTTAATTTATTTTCAGTTAACAAAAGTAATCGCTTAAGTTTCGTTTTGAATTGGTTTAGAGAATAATTAGTTTTCATTTCATTATTAATATTATGTTCCACAACTTTGGTCCTCGGTTTACAATAGAGAATTTAGTAGCGGAATAATAAGTTTTGGATTGAATGTAGTTGTATTTTGAGTGTCTTGTAGGGTATATGTGATTTATTTTTTCAAAAATTGAATAAAATAAGATTGGTAATATATTTTTATCAAGTTTGAACATGAAAATATGAACTTGATAGAGGTTTAGTTTATATACATTTTGGATATTGAGTTCATTAAAAAGTGTTAGTGTGTGTGAAAAACGATCTACGTTTGAAATTATCCTTATAGCCTGTTTTTGTTTGCTAAGCAATTTTTTTATTTTCGTCGCGGTTAGTGCTACACCAAGCAATGTTCGCATAACTTAAGTAGCAATAAATAAAAGAAAAGTAAATGTTTTTTAAACAAGATCGATGTAATAACTGCTTTGCTTTGTACATTATACCTAAATTTTTTGATATTTTATCTTCAACTACACTTATGTGCTCCCTCCAGGTTACATTTTCGTCTAGAAACACGCCTAAAAACTTTATTGATTGCTCTCTCTTTATTAATTGATTGTCAATAAAAAGGTCTGAGAGTTCTAAGGGAATATCTGATTTTTTATGTAGGCGATGGAATAAAGTGTATTTTGTTTTAGTAATATTTAAAGATATCTTGGTTGATTTAAACCATTGGGTTAGTTTGTCTAGTTCTTTGTTTAATGTTTGGAATAATATATTGATATCTTTATTGGAATAAAACAAGCTGGTATCATCTGCAAATAAAATTATATTTAAAATGTTAGAAAATTTATCTAAATCGTTTTTATAAACAAGAAATAGAAGTGGCCCTAAAATTGATTTAATAACGACATTACTACTTATAGAATCGAAACCTACACTTTTTTTGGGCTTTAACAAAGAGACTGCGTCTAATAATTCATTTTCCGTAAGTTTAGGATTAGACATAACACTAATGTTGTTTGAGGTTACGTAAGACGTTGTTTGAGGTTACGTAATGTTGTTTCAGGTTACGTAAAGTGTATTTGAGAAGTTGCTATA